GACCAGCATTGTCCCCCTCACCTGGGACTATGCTCCAACTGCCATCGCCCCACTGAATCAGAGTCTCTTGGGTTGAACCCAGCAATCTCAGGTTTAACCACCCCATCAGGTGATTTGAATGCTCAAAATCTGAGACCTACTCTATTAAGGAAATTAGACCTCACCTTAAATAAGTTGAAAATGTTTATTCCCAGCTGCCATTTGTCCTTCGATGGTGTTTCTTTTTCCTGGACAGAAATTTTAAATTTCTGAGAAGCCAAATTTAACAAGCTTTTCCTCTTTAGAATCCCAGTTTGGTATCATCCTTAGAAAATTCTTCCCTACTCTGAGATCATTAAACATTCTCTATATCTACATTTTCATTCTTTATGTTTAAATAGTTGCTCCAACAATCTGATTCATTTCTGCATCTTGAAATTGATGGTATATTTAGAGGAATTTAAATTAACATTTAAAAGAAGGGCAGAACAAAGAAGAGGTGCCCAGAGTGCCATCTGTAAATCTACTTTGAATAATCAAAAATATATAAACATGTGGTTGTCATGATATTCTGGAAAATTTAGATTCTTTTCAAAATCTAGGTCACCCAGTCATTTCTATCATTCAACATTTCCAGGATCTTTTTTCCTTGCATAGAGCTTACACAGGCCTTACACAGATGTACACTTACATACACCTCACAAAAACAGTAAGGTCAGTTTTACATTTTGCAATGCCCTCCCACTACTCTGTGGTCAAGAACCCAATGAAGCCCAAAGGGGCCTCAAAAGAGAAGCACAATTCTTCTTTAAGTGTAGGGGACTATTCCACAAACACTTTTCTTTAAATCTCAGGGGACTATTTCAATGATATAACCCACTGCTCTTATGGGTGTATATGTAAGTGGCAGGGTGAGAGGGGTGGCAGCTGGGTGGTGGTGTTGGGGAGATGAGTTCAAGTTTATACCAAAAGGAAAATGCCTTCGAGCTGGATTTTTAATGTAACAGAGACCTGAGAGAACTCCTGACTTTGCTCTGGATGCAGAGTCCTGGATACTGATCATTTTTCCTCTTTGCTCAGCATCATCTGAAGATAAACTCCAAAGTCAGAAGTCACAGAGGTGCTCCAATAAAACACCTCTGAATGTAAAGAGGACATAAGTTACCCCTGCAAAGCCTTCTCTGTCTAAATGCTGATGAATATCTGTACTCTTCTGGAGCCCAACTTCGGAAGTTAGGGGGTGTGGGGGGAAGAGGGATGAGGGAGAGAGAAAGACACACAGAGAGACAGACAGAGACACACAGAGAAAGACACAAATTACTATAGGGAGGCCTAATGGAGTGTTCCTCTGTTCTCTTATTTCCTCAGAAAAACATCACTTTCCAGACATTAATTAGTTTTAGAAAAACATTGCATAAACTCCTTTCATACACAAAAAAATCTCTCTTTAAATGTCCTGTTATGATTTCCGGGGCAGAAAGCCATGCGATGGAAATGGTACCCAGCACTCATTGATCACACAAGCTATCCAGAGACTGGGTGAAGAAACTGACATCTTTTCATTAAGGTATTCATTTCTGTGTTTCAGGAAGTCAGTACTCATGGATCAGTCAATTATAAAGCATTACCTTTCACCAAACTTTGTTTAATGGTGTTGAAACAGATAGATACGAACAAAGATATGCATGCTAGTGAAGGATAATATTAAAAGATCTAAATACTAGCTCACTAGTTATCTATTTGATTTTACAGTGGGTTTGCTGCCACTTGTCCAGTAAAGTAATTTAAATATGAAAATTGAATGATCTCCAATGAGGCATGGGACCTCAGGGACTGGACCAAAGCAAACTTGGTGCAAAATGGAAATGCCCACCACTAAGTCTGCTCCCTTTTTTTCTGCTACAGTAGATCTCTAGGCTGCCTGCAGGTTGAATTCACATCTACTGGTTATTTTTCATAAAACCAGGGGAAGTATTTGACCCAACCCTCTTGTTTTACTGATAAAGTAGTAAAAATAGGTTCAAGACTGCACAAGTACTTAATCGCAGGGCAGGGTAGGACACAGGTCTTATAGCAATTTGAGATCATTTATATATTTATTTTTGATAGTGTGTAACCAGTTTAATTTAATATTTCAGCTTTTAAATTGTTTTGTCAAAAGGTTAACGTTCTATAGTTGTGCTGGTCAATATAACAGCCTCTAGCAACATGGGCTATTGACCTCTGGAAACATGGCTAATCTGAATTGAGATGCTCTGTAAGTGTAACACTTAACATAAAAAATGTAAAATATTAGTATTTTGTATTGACTACATCTTTAAATGTTCATTTTTTTATATACTGGGTTAAAGAAAATATATTATTAAAATTAATTTCACCTGCTTATATTTACTTTTCTATTGTGACTACTAAGACACGTTAAATTATGCATGTGGCTCAAACACTTTATTTCTTTTGGACGGTACTGATTTATGGGAAAAAACTGCACTAAGGAGAGAGCTACAGCAATCTTCCTTTCCTGAATTTGCTAGTGACAAGAGCAAAGGAGGAGAGGATGAGACGGCATTTGTTCCGAGTACTTTAAAAAGTACTTACCTGGTCAAGGAAGCCAGACTTGCAAGCCACATAATAAAAATAAAAACTAAAACATAATTTGAAATCAAATAATTTTTATGTTAATCCTTAAATGTGCATGCATGTGTCAATTTTACCTGTAAAAGAATGTTAGCAATTGTGACAACATGACAATCACCACCTCCCCTTTTAAGAGCAGCTATTTTCCTAGAAAAATCAGAACCAAAACCAGTGTCCTAGAAATCAGCTCTGCCTTTAAAAAGACATCTGTCCATTATAAACATCCATACCAAGTAGGTAAATAAATGATTAATAGCTGGATGATAAACAGATGATAGACAGACAAGACAGACAGATAGACTCGATTCACCATATAAGCGGGAATGGGGCACCATGGTCATCTGAACTGAATGTTACAGGTCAGCGCTGAGCCCATTTTAACTTAAAACAGCTGGCAGGCAACCTCCTCACCCAGACAGGCAAATGTTCCTCTTTGTTACAAAGAAATTCTCTACTGCAAAAATTGACTTCCTTTATCTTGGGGGAAAATAATGATTTTGTCTCAATTAATGTTATTTTCCAATATACTAATATATATCAACTATGGCCACAAAATTAGAAAAATGAACATATGTTTATTATCACAGCTACACTCTTGAAAAAAGAACCCTGTTATTTTTCAAAGGTTTTAGTTTTTCAATAAGATATGCAGGTATTAGATTAGAGACAGTATTTACTCCTGAAATAATACATTTCTAATAAAGTCAGGTGTGGTTTCTAGGAGATGTACAGCATAAAATGAATAAAGTCTTCTCTGTTCTCATGGTGAGATGGCACTGCTGATTGCTGAGAATGCTAGCTTGCTAGACACAAGCTGAAAAGGGACTTCCACAACTTGGAATTCAATTCAGGTGTTTTCTGAGTCTCTTCTTTGGAACAACTCTATTAAAGATGTAACAAGAAAAGATTCTGGAGGTTTCTGCAATAACCGTGCACATATATTTGCCATCTTGCAGAGATAACTGAGCAGCAATACTGTGCGATGGTGGAGACAATCACCACTCTCTCCCCTTCCTTCCTGTGTTCACCAGGCACCATGGTCCCTATTACCAAATTAAATGCCATGTGTTAAATGGGATGAAAATGCTTCCCTGCTTTGTGTCTTCTGTTTCTATAAAATGAACTATGGATTTTCATTTACCTCAGCCCATAGGATCTCCTGCATTTCCAGAGATAGAATTCTTGACAATTTGCAATTTCAGGCAACAACCAAAAAAATAGTATTCCCCCACAAATTTGTTAAATTTATTCTAATTTTATCCTCCTCTTTTCTCTCCCTCCCACTCCACCTCTTCGAATCCAAATGCCACTGGAAAAGAAGCACATTTGGACTGATTTGGAATGTAAAATTCTCCAGCCTTTTACTGTTACCTAGAAAATCTTCCTTAAAAAGAATATATATATTTTTTAAGTTTTTAGTTCAAAGCAAAAAAGGTCTCCTATGCTAAGACTGGCTTCTCACACGTTAGGGGGTCATTCAAAAAACAACGTGGGCAAATATGTAGAATAAATTCCTAAGGAAGGCAAGCTGTGTCACTGCACAGCGGGAAGAAACAATTCCACCACAACGGTGTATTTCACCATTCAATGAATGTAACATGATTCACAGAGCTTCTAGTTTTAAAAGTCTCCCAAACCCCCATAGAACGTGAATAGGAGTTTTAAAGGAGGAAAACAGCATTTTTCAGGACGGAAGACTCAGGCAGGTTCCCACATGGTGAGAAGCCAGCAATGCTTTGCAGGCGACCCCGGGAGCTGTCAGCAGTCATTGTCATCTTAATGGGAACCACAATCTTACAACTAAAGATGGGATGCGGCGCCTTTCCCATCTTCTGTTCTTACAACAACGAAACAGGAGAAAAACACTTGTAACGTCACGAAACACATTCTTTAAAAGGAGAATTAAAATATTTAGCCAAGTCTCAGCCAAGTCTCAGCCAAGCCCGCGAAGGGCTCCGGTCTAGTAGGAAAACACGCTGAAAGAAAACAGCAGCCCCTAACGTGCCTCGCATTTCACTCACTTTGGACCACATCTTTTCAGGACTTTCCTAAATCCATTAAATCAACTTCCACATTAATAGAAACACCTGCACCGTAGAATTTTCTAAAACACGAACTCCTGCTTTGGAAGGAATCCCAAATAATGTGCACGATGCAGATTTCTTTTTAAGGACATGTTTTAGAAAAGTGTACCAACATGCTCACCCTCCCTGACAAGGATACAGAAATGCAGCTTTTTCCCCCCTCGCCAACCCCAATCTTTATATTGCTGACTCGCCCTCCCAGATAGCGTCCCTTCTCAGGGGCTGGCAAACAAGGATGCCAAAGCCGTCGGTGCCCCAGTGAAGAAGCAGCGAAGCCACAGCAAAGGAAGAGAAATCGGTTACCTGAGGATGAACACAACTCTGCTCTGGGCTTCTTCCGAGCTCGCCTCGCATAGGACAGGGCAGCGCAGGCTGTGAGGATGCGGGCTCCTCCCGCAGGCAGGCGGGGCGCTCCCTCGCGCCGCCGTGACGATGCTGTCAGCTGCTCGCCCGCCCGTGCGCCCCGCGCCCCCGCGCACCTGCGCCGCCCAGCCCGGGCGGGCTCGGGGTGGTCACAGCCGCCCCACAGTCCTCCAGCTCCCTCTCCTTCTTCCCCCTTCAATCTCGGACTTCTCAGCTGTGCCAGCTGCTGCAGCGGCAGATGCTCCTGCTTAAATGGCGTCTGCTCGCCTCCAAAGAGCTTTTAGGTGCCACCTACTGCGTGCTCCTGGAATAGATGGTCAAGACTGGAATTCTCAGCGAATTCAATGAGTTAAAATAATTTCATTGAAAGTGCACCAGATTCTTTTGTTTTAGTTGTTCACATTACCAGCTATAATTACTACTAAACGCATAAGGCTCTCTTTCAGTGTCCAGCTACTAAATTAAAAACCTCATTTATAAGGCAGATGAAATCGGGCCATGATGAACAGCCAACCACACATTGCAGATTAATACATTCTAATTTAATAGGCTCCTGTAACAATCTGGGGCTAAAACTGCTTTTACACTGAGTAGTTTCACATCAGTATTTCAGGGAAATAACCAGGTATATTTTCTGACACTGATAAAACATGTCAAAGAAGCATTGACCAAAAACAGGTAAATCAGCAAGAATTAGGTTCATGGCTAACAATTCTGTGCCAACACTTAAAGAAAATGCTTTCCTATAACACTGATCCATATTTAAACTACACTTGAGGAAGATTTCTTCTCCCTATTATAACTCATTCTTTTTTTAATACCAAATTTTCTAAAAGAATTGGGCAATATTTTTTTGTTCTTTAAATTTGATTTTGCTTAAAGAATTGCATTTGTCAGTTCTAAGACTGTTTCCAATTTACAATTTCAGTTAGCATTGTCCTTTGATGTTCATTTCCAAAGTAAATTTCTGCCCTGCTATTCACAGGAAATATGTGTTGTTGTTGTTTTTAATCTTACTTTAGTATGTATGTAATCAAGAAAATTTATTTTGCTCACTCATTCACCCTAATTCTGACCTTGAAGCTATGGCCATTGGAATATGAATAAAAAACCATTTTTGTCATTTAAGGCTACCATCAGCAAATCTACTATTTTAATGATGCCTGAAAACAGGGTATCACTCTCTTCCCAGTTTTCTCTTCATTACAAAGGAGTGGATGGCCATTAGGAAAGCTGTCCCAAATGAGGTCTCAGAGACACAGACCCTCGGTGTCTGCCTCCATTTCTCCAATCTGAAAGAACCATCAAATCGAGGTGTTTCCCATGACAATCCCCAAACGTAGGTTATCAGGTTAAATGATAAAATGGAAGTTGAGGGCTGAATAGAGAAGGGTGAAAGATTTAAAGAGGTAAACATATTAAAGGTAAAAAGCAAATTCTGGCACCAAATTAGTAGGGAGCAAGAATATGGAGATGGTGAAGGAAGCCAGTTTGATTCTGCAAACTCCACACTGCAGTGGAATTCTGCATTTTGCCACATATAATCATTATTTGTTCTGAGAATATGAAGCAAGGGTCCCAGAGGGCACATTTAAACAAGGAACAAAATACTTCAAACGATGGCCCTGGTGTCTCTTGTCACCCTCCACAAGCCCTGACTTTTCATCAGCCAGAAGGAACAGATTGCTCCCAAGGCTACAGTCTCAGGATCTGATGTAATAAGATCCTCAGATTTCTAGGCTTGTTGGAGGCGGGATGCCAGTGTCTCTCAAACTCTATCTTGCATCAGAATCACCTGGGGGGAGGGAGCTTGCTAAACAGCCAGCTGGGCCACATCCCAGGTTTCTTGATTCAGCACAGCTGGGGCGGGTCCCAAAATGTGTGATTGTAACAAGTTCCCTGGTCACGCTGAGGCTGCTTGCAGCTGGGACCCACTGAGCTCAGCCACCCAGGTAATGAAGACACTGATAACAAGTGGTAATTTGCTCAGGTACGAGAAGCATAACATTCCTCTATTTTCTAAAGCACATTGAAACTGGCTCAGTCAACCCAGTGTCCCCCGTTCGGAGCAAGCCCCGTGCTTCTCCACAGACTCACACATGTGTCCCAGGACCTTTTGAGGGGTGGTTGTAAAAAAGAAGTTCCCCAGCTGCATTCTCACTTTGCCCTTCGACTTAAGACTCTACACGGGTACACTTAGCCTCTGTGCAAGTTAGAAAAAGGACCCTGCTCTAGGTGCACACAATCTCTCCCCACTCATCCCCAAGACAGCACATGGCTTAAGGGACAGAGGACCCTTTGTGCAGAGAACATGCCTGGGGCAGGTGTAGCCCACGCCAGGTCCCCAGCTGGGTGAGTGGGGCACCTGCTGAACCCCAGCACCACTCTCGCCCTCAGCTGGTGACCTTTGTACATCATGCAAACCTCACAACCAAGCACATCAACTCTGCTCCTCCTCCGGGGCAGCATAGTCCAGGTGAGGGCTGGCAGTTCCATTGAGGACCTGGGTCTACAGATCCACAGAGTGCCAGACACCATCAAGGGAGAGGTAGAGCCACATTCTAACAATGGGGTCACGAGCTGAGGGATAAGGCGCGACGCGCTCTAGTTTGCTGCTGAGCAAGCAAGCACATAATGAAAAGATATACCTTTGGGCTGTGCTCTTTATGTGTCTCGTTGTCTCACTTTCATCCTGTTTTCTCTAAAACAGTGGTTCTGGGCACCAGCAGTATCAGCATCATCTGGGACATTTTTAGAAATGGACATTTTAGCCCCACCCCAGATTTACTGTAAGAGAATCTCTGAAAGTGGTGCACAGCCATCTGCATTTTAGCAAACAATCCAGGTGATCAGGTAATTGTGATGATGCAGAGTAGAGTTTGAAACACATTGCACTAAAGTTTGTTTTTTAATTATATTTTTAACAAATGCTATGCCAACATATCTCCTTACAAATTGTTGAAAGGGTATCATCTGGATAGAATGTGCTCTGGAAGAAATATACCCCCTTCCCAGATGTTTCTTGTCCTTCAGATTTCCCCAGCACCATAGTACCTGGCTGTGCAGCCATCCCTTCTAAGTTTCTACCACGTAAGGGTGGGGTGCAGGACTCCACTGCCCAGAAGACCACCCCATTTCCCAGCAATCTTGTGAGCAGTCAGGATGTCCACCTCCGGAAGTGGCTCTCTTCTGCTCAAACTCCTACCTCTATCTTCTTCCCCATGGAGTCACTCCAGCCTAACCCCTGTATAGGCCAGATCCTCCAAAGTAAGATCTCAGCCCTGAAATGCAAAAAGGTTTTCACATCTATGTGGAGAAAAAAACCCCATGCCTGTGAACATAAGAGAAGAAGAAAATAAAATTTTCATTGATTTTTGTCCACAAGTTCCCTGGCCCCAAAACAAGACCTCTGAAGTTGGGTTGGCCCTTCAAAGATGTCCCACATTGAGAACCACCCCTGGATTAGTCATTGTATGTATGCTATTCTCCCTCTAGGCCCTTTTGAGGGCAAGTCCCAGGAAGGAAATCAGCTGACAGCCTTCAACAGCAACACTCCAGCTACTGGGGCAATGAGGCTTCAGTCCTGAGGGGTGATTGTGGTGGTGGGTGGCAGCACCCTCTTTAGAAGCCAAGGGTGACTTGTAGAGAATAGCATCAATTTGTTATGAATAAAGAATTTCAGAGGCAGATCTTTTTACAGAGAATAAAAGTTCTATATTATTCCATTAGTTTTCATTCTGCTTCTGTATTTTTAATCATCCTTTCAGTCTCTACAAATGTACCAGATGCTTTTAAGTCTAAGGTGTTTTTGTGTCTCTCCTTGCCTCCCTCCATACTATATTCAGCCCAAGAAGGACAAAGCACCATGCTTGCTATCTGTTATTAATCTTTTCAGCTTACCCCGGCTACACAGATACTAAAGCTGACATCTGTTTTCTGTAATCTCAGAGAGTTTCTCATCCCTGCCTTATCTAAGGTTGACCTAGTTCTCTTGGTCTACTAAAATATTAGTGAATACATACAGATGATTCTATCCATAAAATGCAACCCTGTGCACTGCTCTGCACATCCCCGGATCCAACCCATCAAACCCCTTGCCTTCCCTTCTCCCCTAACCTCCATTCTAACCAATGGAACACCTGTGCCTTATTCATCAAGTTCCTCTAAATCCTACACTGCTTTGTGGGAGAGTCTGCCACCCCTTTGCCCTAATTAAAAGCTGATTGTTCTCCAGTCCCCACTTTTCCTGTAGCATCTCAAACAGAGATTGTTTTTTCTCTCTGCTCCATTACCTCCTTGGTCTCAATGCATTGTATCTTCTGAGCCGTATCTCCCTGTCTGGCTGCAAAATACTGCCTGCTTTTACACTGTGACAACTTCTTCCATTCATCTTGCCATGCTTTGGGTCTGGTGGTCTTTCTCTCTACCTGGATCCAGTACCACCTAACAGATTCATCCCACAATCTGCTCTCTTCTTTCTATTATCTCCTTGTTTCCAGTGACATTTTCCCCCACCATACCCCAGCCATCACCACTGATGGCCACATCCTGCTCCCTGGCGTCATTATGTAAACATTACAGGACAATGGAACATTGGTTTCAAGCATCCGCCTTTCTAGCCACTCACACAGCCACTCCTCCTCCTTAGCAGGACAGTTTCTCCACTGTGCTCAGGATTACCTTCATTCTAAGCATTTGTCTCTTCCACGTCATCATTTCTCCCTTTTCTATCTGTAAAATATGTAGCAGAAACAAGTCTTCTGTCCCTCTCACTCTTGTCCCCTTTGAAGAATCAAAAAGACTGACGGTATCATTGGATGAGTCTGAGCTTCTAAGCTCTCCCCCCTCATCTATGCTTGGGATCTCCTGTCTGTTCCCCAAGCAGTGAGGAGGAGTGAAGCCTGGAGGAGAATCCCAGAGCTTTTAGAATCAAGCCCAACATTTATGTTGGCTCCCAAGGCTCTCATGATCCAGTGGCTTGCTGCTTCTCCAATTTCATTTCATGCCCTATGTCCTGCTGCTCTCAAGTGCCAGCCCAACTGGGCTTCTTTCAATTCCCCAAATGCACCAAGGCTTTCCTCCCATCAAGGCTGTTGCACAT